TGAGGGTCCAGGGGGTCCAATTTGGACCGTTGATTGTGTTTGCGTTTTATGCGGACAAAAACTCAAGGGCCTCCACAGCAGGTTGGAAAAGGACAAGGGTAAGTCTAAATGCAACTCGTCCAAGGAGGCGGTTCTTCCGATTCATCAACTCTTGTTTTGGTCGATTGGTTGGAACTATTTAGATGGTCCGGGACGAATCGCTACATGGCGAGTCACCCTGGTTACGGGGGACTTACGACCATAAGTGGGTTACAACCGGGGCAAAGCTAGCCATTCAGCGATTCCACCCCGACCATCTAAGTACTGGAACTCCGAATTCGAGACCTGGCGACTTGGACGAAGCGGCGTCTTTTTGTTGTTTGTCTGCTGGCCCATGGGCAGTCTGACGCGTGCTTCACCATTGCTCCCAAGACCCTCGAACAGAGAAAAAACACGTTGGTGGTTTGATATTACTGTCGATGGGCGAAATCTGTTTTGCACCAGCTGGGATGGAGGAAGCCATATAAATACTGGCATAAACCACATATTAACTGCTGCAGGAACTTGGCCATCCACAGTAATTAGGAAACCAAATAATTTTGTCTCCGAGGGGAACATGCAAAATGGCGGATTCCTATGTTGCTTTCCCTTTCAAGACCACCCAAATAGAGGAAATGACCCTTAAAGAAAGGCCACGGCCAATGAAACCGTTCACCGAACTTCTAGCAACTTCAGGCTTGAGAAATCCTTAGGCCAAGGGGGCAATCCTGTTCACAGTGTCCCGGCGGTTCAAATGCTTCCCGCATCTTGCGAGTGACAGGTGCGGCCGAGCCGGTCCCGTTGGCTTTGGTCTGTTTACTGACACCCTGCAAACAACATATAGAGATATCTCTAGCTAGCTGGAGAGAAAACCTGATTTCCCCCAAACAGTTACAGATTGAACTACCTCTGCTTTTGCCCCCCCAACGAAACAAAGTGGTTCATTCTACTGGTCCATATGTTTAGTGGACCTTCCTGGCAAATGAGAATCCAGTAAAGGTGAAACCATAAAGCAACCAAGAAGTAATGTAATGATCAATGACGACGAGGTCAACAAATATTCAAGCCAAGCCAACAGCGACCTTTCAAGACAGGCTGAGTGCTGCAGAGTTGCGTGTTATATGGCCCCACATGAACAAAGTCAATTAAACAAGTCTTGATCCTTTTGCATGATTGGGCATAAACTGACCAGGTCCTCCAGTAGAGAGGTTAGAATAAGGGTACCAACTTTTTTCTGTAGTCTATTCTAGCAGGGGAACCCTGCCCCAAAACAGGGGTTTAAGGGCACTACTGGGGGACCTAGCTGAAAACACAACTCGTCGCAGCGCATTCCCGTCAGAGACACTGTACGTCCTCTGTAGATCCACAGTTGCGAAGCCCAATCAACAACACTTGGCTCTTTTCGGGAAACTCCTTAAAAATGGCATGGACTCACAAATGCTCTAAGGGTTCATTCCCCATTCTCTTTCCCCCATAGTATCCCATCATTCTTTTCAGCCATGATCATTTGTTCCGGGTTTCAGGCTACTTTCCAAAAAGAAGGATCTTTAAATAAAATGTGCAGGGTACGAACAGAAATGAACACGTCTTCATTCACAACAAACAAGATCGAACGTGACAGTTCGGAAAGCTTGGGCCTTGTGTGAATCTGACTGATCACCGGCTCGGAACGCGTCGATGCGCTTCGGGGAAAATCGTAACTGGGGCCTCTTTGGCCCCAGATGCAAAGTCGGGCCATCCGATCTAGCAGATCTGCAACCAACAAATACCTCCAATTTGCCCAACAAATGGAGTGTCTGTTTTTGAGGGTGCCCATTTGAGATTGTCTGCTATGAACTTCATCGGTTTTGGCAGATAACAAACTCCTTAGCCAAAAGTACATCTAACCCAACACAATGTGTGAACTCCTGGACTGGATAAGATATGACATGAGCTCGGTGCACTGTGGGTGCAAAGTTTCACTAGGGACCTTCTGATGGAGTTCATTGTTGCAGGGATAGATGTCCACCAACCACTTGGGACGGTATTCCTCATGCAAGATTGTAGCCATAGGGTCTAAGCCTCATGCAAAAACAAGGAACCCCCAAAAATAGGTTGCTTTCCTTGGGTGTCCCCTCTCAACCCAAATGAGGCTACCCTAAAAGGACACGCCCTCCAAAAACATGCTGCACTCGGCGTGGTTCGGCCCAGTTCTGGTTCACTTTGCAGCCCTTAGGTATGGTAGCAACAAACTTTCTTGTTTGCAGCCCCCTAATAATTTTTGACCAGAACCAATAAAAGGCAACAACCACTTGATCCAACCGCAGGGGACGTTGACCTCTCGGGATTCGGGGCGCTCCTGGGCTTCGGGGTACAGGTGTCCCGATCTCACGCGGGCCGCGCGCCAAGGCGCTCCACCAGAAACTCCATGGGGTTCCCGTTGCTCCGCAGCGCCTCGTTCTTTGAAACCGCGGTGCCCAAGTGTCTCCCTTATTTTTGCAGCATAACTCCCAAATATTCCATGGTTTGATCCCAAACCCCTTCACAGAATAACAAGTTGGCCGGAAAGCAAAACAACAAGAACGGTTTGCTACACTCACTTCTAGTTTGGTGATTGGTCTGTACTTTTCCAAGGTGGCCGAGCCAAAGGGGAACTAACTAATCAATTGGGCGAATGTTAGCGACGCAACACCGTACGCAGCGGACGTCAAGCGACGCACAGGATTCTCACCCGAGTGAATGCTCTTTTGCAAGAGGCTTACGCTTGCGCCGCTGTTGGTGCTGTGTCTGCAGGTCACAACCCAAGACCGAAGCCTTAGTTTCCAAACCAAGCTGTTCCCCCTTCGTTCGCCATTACTAAGGGAATCCTATTTAGTTCGTTCGGGTATGCAGGAGCAAAATAGAACAATATTGCTAGTTTGCAGCGCGGAATGAGGGAATGACCCCTATAAAGCGTCCCCTATGGTTTCCTTCCAGGGAATCCCCTAGGTTCATTCCCAAAACCCTAGGTCAATCCCTACTAAGCACCAGCTAGTAATTCACCAGCTGAAAAAAGTAATACAATAATTACCTAGAAAGAAACCTTCACTTTGTGTTTCACGTTGCACGGGTCTTAAAGTCACGCTCCTTGGAATTGGAGCGTAAATTAGGTGGTAAATTTCATCTACAGCGAAAACGCTCACTCCTACATGAGGAAAAGCAGTAGCAAGATGATTGGTACTGATGTTCTTCTCTCTCAGGATCTCGATGAAGATCAAGGACCTCGCTTGGTCGTTGTCGTTCATACCCGCTGTCACGACCTTCTTGAACCTCTCCGAGGAACTCGTGAAAGCCGACAGGGCCACACACGCCTTGAAGATAGACATTGTGACCCTCCTCTCGTCGAGGATGGTCTTGATCTTCGCAGCGTACGACCTGCTGGTATCCCCCGCAAGGGTCAGGACGTCCGACTTGATCTTGGGTGCAACAAGCGGGGACTAACAAATCAAATGTTGAGAATAGCGAGGCAAATAGGACGGATTGATGAATCGGAATACGTGCACCGTGCACCCCCCAAAGCAATTGTCCCCATGTGGATGGACGAAATCCTGCACCTGAGAAACCATGGTTGAAACCATCAAGCTTGTTGGCATTTGTGTTGAGGAATCGAATCAGAAACTGCTGGGCTTCTCAGTTTGGTCGGGTGAAACGGATGGATTTCGCAACCACAGAAGGAGCTTTGACCATCAAAACTAGGTCCTCCAGTAGAGAGAGGTTAAAATAAGGGTACCTCTTCTTTTTTTCTTCTATAGTCTATTTTAGTAGGGGAACCCTCCCCCAAAAAAATACACCGCACCCTTCCGCTGGGGGACCTAGAAAAGAAGGGCCCGAAAGAAGCGCTCCTCCTTGGCAGCGGCGATGCCCGCCAGGAGCGCCTCCTGCGGCGGCCCAGGAAGCCGGACATCCGAAAAGGCTCACGCTTTGCAAGCGCCACGCCGGTCCAACGGGTGGCTCGTGTTCCAAGGTTTCCGAGAATGTAGATGGGAAAACAGCTTTAGGGTGATTTGGGGCCAAGATGGGAACTGCTCAAAGAATTTCACCCGAGAATTAGATGGTTTCTTTAGGGTGATTTGGGGCCAGTTATGGCCAGTTCCTGTAGATGTTCCTGTCGAAGCCTTTGATGGTTCCAGGTTGGTTTACTCCCCTAGTGGTTTGGATGGGCTTGGAGGCTTGGCTTTCCATTTATCCACAAGTCACCAATATAAACCACCAAGGGGTGAATTAACAAGGAACTAGCAAACACCGACTCCCGGTTGCGAATGGAGTAACTCTTCGCCGGTTGCAATGACCCTGCAGTAACTCTTCGCCGGTTGCCTGTCATAGTTTGAACGCTTCCAGAGGTTGCCTACTATACAGGGAACTGTGTGCGGGCCCACGTGAATTTGCAGGGGAGCCATGTAGACGCGTGATTCTCCTCGGCAAGTCTGGTTCAACGGCCAAAGGTAATCAGAGGTGCTTGCGCGCAAGCTGACAAGCAAGTTTCTGTCAGGAGTAAGCTCACACCTGGCTATAAGTGGGTATTGATCAGTGACAGAAAACCCCGGGTTGATTCATAGGGAGTGGGCCATTGAGAAGTACTCACATAGAGCTTAAGTAAACATCCCCGCAATCCTATCCAATCCTTTTGGCTTGGGGCTAATGTATAAATCAACCCCAGTTTACTAAGAGGGAATCATCGCTTTTGGAGGGGAACACCGCCCCCATTAGTAAACTCAGGTTGCCTTGGTTCTATACCGAGAAATGGAACATCTGAGGGGCAACATCTGCGAGTCACCAAAATTGCGACCTCTCAACTCCCCCCCCCCCCCCCCTAAACGCCCACATTCTTGCGTGTAATGAAAAGACGAAAACCTCGGGATTCAAAAACCCCTCGGTCGATCCATTGGAGCGTGTTCCATGTAAGAGGGAGCCCGGGAGCACTTCAGAAACACACCCTATGGGTTGACAAATCCGGGGATCAACCAATTCCGAAAGTTCCAAAAGCGCCCAACCCTGTGGATACGGAGCATGACCAAACAACGGCAAGAAGGGGAACAAGGAAACCCCAAGTTCCCGCAGCTCCGCCACTGCGGAAGACAAAGGGACCCCCGACATCCCCCGACTGACTGGGACGAAATCAGGTGCGTCGGGTGTCCTGTCAGCAAATGGAGCAAGGGTCAGCGTTTGACCATCAAAGTCAGTCCCTTGTAGCTGGCAAGGGAAGTGGCTGGTAAGTGGCTAAAAACATTAAAGAAAACCTGGCGTTCATTACCATTGAAACTCCTGCGTGTGGAGCATACTCTATTCTCGAAATAAGATTCCCATCCCCGTAGCTAATTTAGTTCCTTCGGCTCACAGATACTCGCAACCGACATTTCAATTTCACATGCATTCCAAAGAAAGTCCCGCAAAAGGTATGTGTTGGGGTTCTATCTGCAAGCACACAAACCGTCCATGCGGGGCGCTTGTTAAAGACATGCCTGATGTCAACCTTGGGCTTTCAACCCCCAAACAGAGCTCTATCGATTTTTGAAGCAACAATCAACCCAACAAAACGGGCACCAACTCGAAAAGCCAAACACATCCACACGGTTTCTATCCTCTTCCCCAGCCTAGGCGCCTGGAACCAAGGACTGCTCAAACTGCCTCAACTCCGGGCGCCTGAGATGCCACGCGTTGTCGCCCCAGCACCACCAGGCAGTCGCCCAGGCGCCAGCCGAAACGCACCGCCTCACGGAACGAGCGAGGCCTGGGCCCAGGCCTGGGCCATGACTCACTTCGTGAGTGGAGAGCGAGTAACACACTCATCCACCTCAAATGGGTGGTGGTGGTCAAAGATAGGCACCCAACATGGCACGGGAAGTGGAAATAATAGACTAAAACCTGCGGTCCATATCCTGGTGGTTGAAGTTTGACCCACACCTCAAATGGTAACCCTGTGGATGGTGACGCGAAATCCGCATTTCGCGCCACAAAATGACACCATGGGAATGAAACCGTTTAACGATTGTTGGTATTTGCAGGGGAATCGAATCATTCTAGGGCTTCTTGGGTGGTGCAGGATTTCGTTCATCCACAGTAGGGTTCCTTGCCGCCAAAAAGCATGGCTGACCCAATTCAGAGGATGACAAGCCTAAGGTAAACACTAGTGGTTATATGAACCCCCTTTCTTGGTTGTTTGAACCCCAGGGTGTATGTTTGCCGCTGAAGGAGGGAGCATGAAGCCCAAACTCAGGAAGTGAGATGGGGTTGTCTCAAAAAAGGCTTTGGACCCTCGGGTCCTGTTGACCCTTAATCAGCCCATCCTACGAATGCTACCCCACTAGCGAGAACTTCCCCACTTTTGCCAGGCTAATCAGGGTTGATTGATCCGGGGTCAACATGAGCCTCAAAACGAAGACACAAAACAAGAGAGCTCGAGGGTTTCTCAAAGACTTCAAAAAAAGAGAGCCCTAGGGTTCCTTAGAGAGCCTCTTTGGAACCGGGGGTTCCCGCTCCCCGTACCCCCACTCCCGCTGATTCCGTTAAAAGAGAAAGGAGGCCGGCGGCATCCTCCGGCCTCCGGCTTGGTGAAGGCCGTGATCACCCGGTTCTCGATGCGCAAGCCCAAAGTCCTAGAGAAACCCAAATCCCAGGTCGAGCCAACACCTCCAACCTCTCCCGGTCAAAGGGGCGAGACCCCAGCTGCAAGAAGTGGTTGCCACTTTTGATGGGTCCAATTCGGCAAGTCCGACCTGCTTCAACCGAATTTTGAAGTCCAAAGATCCAACCACAAGTGGCATGTGAGCAAAACAACTTTGACTAAGCATAAGACATGGCCGGTATTGCCCCAAATTCTGAGGTGGTTTCCCTTTTCTCGGGGTAATTTCAGGGTTAACGTAGCTTTCTGCAGCCTACCAAAAATGAATAGACAAAAACACATATCTAACAACATGAAAGTGGCTGCCCAAAAACGGGGCACACGCAGCTTCCAGTTCCCTGTTTAGTGACACTGGTAGAGAAATGGAAGCCTTTTTGACTACGACTTTTTGGTGGGGAAGCCACGCAACAAAAAAGGGGACAAGGGGGTGCGTCTTTTGTTCGGGGGACCTCCAAAAAGGTGTTTTTGTTCTTTTGGCTTCCCTTTAACAAAAAAGAGGTACCCCCCCACAGCACACCAATCGGATGGGTCAGGTGCATCAACACAACTTGTGTCAACCCAGTTTGCATTGTCTCGAAAATCGCCGTATGCCAAATAAGGATTTTGTTTGACGCGTAGCACCAGTCACATATGAAATTGCACCTATACTGATTGCGCACTCGATGCGCTTCCACCACCGCCTCCTGGTCGCCCTTCCAGAAAGCAAGCACTGCTCTCCAGGGCCCTGCAATTGGCTGGGCAGCGCGGCGGCCCGCAGACTGTTCGGCGGGAACGGCATGCCAGTGTGGTCTGACGCAGGCCAAAGCCTTAAAGCCCTTGTCGGAGTGAATTCAGGTCCCACACCAGTATGTCCAGCACCGACTGTCTTGTTGCCCGACAAACCTTGCTGGATACGCCAATGCAGCTGCGAGACACCAGACTCGATGCAGTTGTCAGAGGTGTCATCCAAGACCAGAACACAGCGCTTTTGTCATGCCATTTTGGCACCCCATCTTCGTGAAATCCCATGGGGATAGTGAAGCGTAGCTGCTCCTCAGAAAGTCCGGTTTTCCAGACAAACGACTGGTCCTCCTCCGACCAATAGCGGGCAATCTGCAACCAAACAACAGGAGTTGGATCCATGCCCCACTTCCTGAGTGGATTGGCCCAAAAGAGCCAGAACTTGTCATTTGCTACCATACTGTGGCCTTCCCCAAAAGTGGCTAAAGTCCGAAACGGAACTCTGGGAGTGAGTGTGTGGTTTCCCTTGGAATAAACAAGACATGGGCGAGTTCGCCCCCGCAAACACTTGATACTGTGGATGCACGACCCAAGAAACCCTAGAATGATTCGATTCGCCTGTAAATACCAACAAACATAGGTTTCGGTGCAGGATTTCGTCCATCCACTGTAGCATGGCCATGGGGTTTCCAACTGGGCTTCACCCACTTCTCCGCGCCGATGAGCTCGGCGACGACGATCTTGACCTCGGCTGGAGGTGACGCATGAACGGAAGTGGTTGGACATGAACTTAGAGCCTCCATGACCCTTTAAAAATGGTTGGTCGTTAGCCTAAATAATGGGGTGGACCTATTTTTAAGGGTCATGGAGACTCTAGGTTTTTGAATCTCCCACCTAAATGGCATCCACCAGTTTGATCTCTCACTTTTTGGATGGGGCCAAATGGGTGTGACTCCTCGGCGACCCTTTGGACATCAAGGCGCTCGAGTTCGTTGGCTCTTTTAAGCGTTGAAGTTTCACCTCCCATGGTTGGAAGACGGTGTGTCCTTTGTGACGGGAATTTTGTAGTTTGCCCCCCATGCTCGAAAAAGGTCAGGGTAGACAAATGGCTCCCGCAAAGGGATGGTTGGGCACGGCTAGAAACTGAGTCCAGGATGCGGCTTGGGCCTTGACTGGAACGAGGTTTAGACACCTACGGTGGATACCGTACATATTGCAGTCAAGAGAACAGGAAAACAGTGTTAAGGGTGAAACAGTGTTAAGGGTGACGTGTTTTCGGAAAATTGTGTTAACACTGATAATATTTGCTGTTAAGGATGAAAACACCTCAAGTACCAACATTTACCGTGGTGTTGGGGTTGAGTGTGGTTGGTTTACTGGACAGATTTAGGGCGTCCACCGTACCAACAAATCATCCGCTCCCCCTAATACAAATACATCTCTCCCCCGAATATTCAACAGGAGAGGTGCCGTTCTTATGGTGAGGGCGAGCGGACTAGTCTTCACTTCCACATCATTCAACGTGAACAGGACCATACACGAACAACACCAAACATGATGTTGGGCCCTGATTAATGACTCACCCGCTTGTGTTAATCTGTTTGTGGTGTGTGCCACTGTTTGGAGGGAGTCCTTTTTTGAGCGGATTATCGGTTTTCCCAGAGTCAAGTTGCAATAAAGTGTTCCGTTCAACGAATGTCAATCCAAACACAAACTAAGAATACGGCGGATTCCATATCTATTGTCAAAGCTTGCTGATTTGAAGTAGATTGAAGGGTTTCTTCTATCTACTTGTTTCTGTCAGGGGACGCCCTACAACGTATGGTCGATCCCCTTTTGATTTTCCTGGAACCAATCCCCCAAAACAGAGCTACGATTTTCCTTGAAACAACCCGAAAAAAGGGGTACCTGGACCAAAAAGACGGGTCATCCTACGGTAAAAAAGCAAAAACGAAATCCTGCACCACCCAAGAAACCCTGGAATGATGATTCCCCTGCAAATACCAACAAACAATGGTGTCCATGTGTTTCAAAGTGGTGCGAACGGATTTCGCAACCATCCACAGCACGATTGGATGGCAAGTGGCTAAGTGGCTCTCCGGCGCCTGCGGCGCCTCCTCGGATCCAGTGGCCTCAGATCGTTTGGCCAGCTTTCGTGGGAAAAAAAAAGCGCCCCCCTCGGTGTGGAGGATTCCTTGTTCAGGGTGCCGGTCGCCACTTTTCTCACGAAAGGTGGCAAAAAGACCCCGCTGGTGGCCATAGGAAAACAGGGCATCCTTTTTTGGGTTGGTTCCGCCATGTTCCGCCACATTGCTCAAGACCCGCCCCCCCCCCCCCAATTGGAGTGAGCGGAGCCCACATCCCGGCTGAAGCCAGCTAAGGGGAGGGGCAAAATAGGTTGAGTTCAAAGGGGAACCCTTCCAAAGAAAAGAGGAAAACAGGGCGGAACCCACTGGTTGCAACACCCTCCCGCCGACTAACATGGAAGTGCACAAAGCCCCTTTCCAAGAGGAAAGTAGTCCTTTCCACAGGGGTCTGTACACTTCCATGTTAGTCGGTGGGAGGGTACCCCAAAAATGGCCCGGGTGTCCTTTTGGTTTCCCCAGGTGCCTCAAGAAAAGAAACACCCGGGGACCTAGGGAAACCAAAAGAGCCTCCAGACATACCGTATCCTTTCGGAAATGGAACCCATTTTGGGGTTCCATGTGAATTGTTGAGTCTTACATTGCCCTGCGTAATTGTCCAATGTGTGGGCTCAGTCAAACCATTTTGGAGGGATAAGTCAAGCTGGGATTTAGAGAGGTGTCTCTCAAAATATGGGATCCCCCAAAATGGTCGGGGTTTCCTTTTCTTCCATTGAAACCAACCAAAAGGGGTACCAAAAAAAGAATAACGTAGACAGACTCATAACCGCTCCCTGTTCGCTTCAACTTGAGCGGAAATCATAACAAAGGTGCGAGCGCCCTGTATCCACCTGGACAATGGGTGGTTTGCATTTGGTCTGGCGGAAAAAGGTTTGCTTGGGTGTGTGCTTTGCTGAGGGTACCATTTTCAGGTGGGTTGAAAGGGACTCCCCTTTAAGTAGTACTGTGTTCAGTGAGCTAGTTGGAACCAAATGGTGTGTTTTCGCAAGCCTTCCAGCACCCCCCCCAACGTATCCGCAATCCCAAGTACTGTCCAAAAAGCAGTTGGGGGCTTCTGGTTGGGGAAAATTAGGGCTGCGTTTGGATTCGAATCATACCTCCTGTCTCCAAAATAGCTTCCAATGAAGCAAAAGGCCATAGTCCAAGCTCTGTGCAACCGAAATGGTCTTGAGCTGTTCGACATGGAGGCAGAAAATCAAAGGAGGGACTTCCGTAACCCCAAACAGTTAAAGTCCAGGAACTCGGGCGGTGAGTAACATTGACCACACCTAGTGCAAGCTTCTCTCCGTCTGGTGTCTCTTCATATTCAAAAGGAGCCTCCCCTATCTGGGAAGTGATCCTGCTTGTTCAAATTCCATGGGTCTTCAAGTTCATTTTTTGTGTGGTTGCAGCCACCACTAAACAAAGATAACAAATAAAGGTTCAAAGCGTGTTTTTGGCCAAGTCAGCAACAACAAGGTGGCTGCCAATAACGACATTGAGAGAAATCGCAAAAGCGCCAACACATGACATTCATATCGGGAAAATCAGCTACCTTGCAAACGTTCTGTTGGTGTAAGCAAGGTTGGTTCCATTCGGACCCCCTGCTAATGCTAGACTGGATTGGTCCGACAGACTGCAAAAAGGTTGACAACCCTTCACATGCTTCTTGGTTTCAGTGCGAAAAAAGCAGAAAACTTGTTTGCTGTAATCAAAAGAGCGGCTGCACCCATTCACGGTTGGGACTGCCCCCCACCTTTATCTACCTGGCTTTGATTGTAGTTTTGCTCTGCATTCTCCTATGGGTTTCTGGTGGTTGAATCAGCTTCCCTCTAATTGGTGGTTCGGAATTGGTGGCCTTTGACTCTGACCCTCTATAAGAACCAGAGGTTCAAATTCCAAACTCCAATCCAAACCATCAAGTAGGGGGTTATCTGATTGAAGGAAACCCAACCAACAACATAGTTTTAACAATGGCACCGTCCCAGGCCTTTGCAAACTCGAGGTGAAGCTTCACTCACCCAAAACGGAACAAAACACACTGCGGGAAAGCGAACTCGACCGAACAACCGAAAAGGAGCCCGGAACTTGTCCCAGGGTGACCGTCGATGTCGAATACAACTCCACGAAACCAGCAAAACCAGCAGGACATGTGGATGCGCCTTTTGTTATATAGGAGTAATTCATTTTACATATTGAACTTGTCGGGGACCCCCCCCCAAAAAAAAAACAAAACAAAAAACAAAAAACAACTAAAGTGTGCAGTGTTCCTTTCAGTTTCCCTGTAAACCGCCAAACAAACCAAAAACGGGTCCCCGAAAGAACACACAATCACACACACTTGGCCTTGTATGCCAAAGACCTGGTCTGAGCTTCCTCCTCGTCAATATTCCATGGGGCGATGCTTTAGGACTCCCTGCACATGGGAGTCTAATTCCCGCAAGGCGGATTCCCTGAAAATCCGCTTGCATTCAAGAAACCTCCCCTGGCTCGTCCATCGGGTGATCTTGAAACGACCCGTGCGTTTGTTTGCAGGAACCCCTTGATTGGCTGGGAGGAGCAACATTAATGGGAGCTCAAGGTGCCAACCTCCGCCCTTTTATGGTGAGTTGTGAGCCAAGCCTTTCAGCCCCGAAAAGGGACCTTGTGTGGGGAAAATCGGGGCTTTGGGGGGGCTAGGGGCCCTATAGTCTAGCCCCCCGAAAGTTTTTTTCTTGGGGGGGGACCCAGTTTCCGACATGGTTTAGGCCAGCCACCTGAAGTAGGGCCCCTTTGGACAGGCCAAAACCCCGATTTTTTGGGGTCTCCCATGGTTGGCCTGGGAGACCCCTGCCGACTCCGAGCTCCCGGGCGAAGTTCAGCATGTCATGGACACCCCCCGCGATGCCTGTCACCGTGTCGCTCACGAAGTCCGACACGATGTCCACCTTGGCACGGCGCATGGTTCGGACGCGTTCTCTGAGTTGGTTGCATCGTTTCACCGCTGGTTTCAAGGAAACCAAAAGAAGGCGAAACAAACCAAAGGGGGGAGGGCCTTTATTTTGACGCCAGCCCACTAGATTTTTGTGAACTCACAAAAAAAAGCTCTAGACGACAGGACTGTGGTACCGGGCGTTCTCTGAGTCAACGTTCAACCCTTGCCTAGCATGACATCTTTGCCACCATCGTCACTTAAGTACACGACGAACAACATGTGGCCAAACCTTGACTTAGCCCCCGCCAAACAAACCTCAAGTGGCCATGAGAAAATGTGTTTTTCAGTAGTTGATTGATGTTCATTCAAAGCAACCCCCTGGCCGAACAAAAAACAAAAGGCCAAGCGTTTGGGAGGATTCGGGCAAACCTTCAGCACAAGACTGGCGCGGCGCCCTTTTCTGCACGACTCTCTTTAACTGCGACTCGCTTCTGGCAGCAGGCGCAAGGCTCCCTAAAATTTCATTACGCATCACCTCAGCAAATTTGCCCCGGACAGTTGTCGTATATATGACCCATACTGTGGATGGACGTATATATGACCCTGAAATGATGGATTCACCTGCACATACCAACAAACAATGGTTTCAACCATGGTTTCAAACTGGTGCAGGATTTTGTCCATGCACAGTATTTAGCAAACCTTCAAAGATGTTCAAACTGGTTGGCACCCGGGATTCATCAAGCCCTGGTCGATTACGGGAGGGGGGGTCCGAAGTAGGGGAGGCTTGTGGGGCAACACCTTCTACATTTCTTCCAGTAAGGCAATGTGGTGGCTATTGCCTCCTGCGAAAGCAACTTTTTGCAGGTGGGAAAATGTTGAAGTGTGAAGGAACCAAGCAGCACAGGTTCTGGTGTCCTCTTGCTTTAAAATCACCCAATTATTCCAAGACTCACTTCCTGAGCGGATTGGCCAAACCAAAGTCTGAACTTTTCGTTTGCCACCAAAACGGACTTTCCAAAAAGGTACAAAGTCCAGAAACTCAAGAAGTGAGAATAAGGTACGTCTACCCACACCCCTCAGTAGACCTTCCGCTGGGGCATCTGGGCGAGGCCGATCAGCAAGAAGAGCAAAAGCCAGGGGATGAATGGATGGCACACAGCACCCGCCAGGGCCAGAGACAGCACACCTGACTGTGGCGTGCTAAGCCCGCTGCACAAAAATTCCCAATTGGGTTGGCCAAAAAAAGTCCGATATGTTTGTTTACGTCCTCCCAAAGCGTTCAAAGTCCATAAAGCAATATATATATATACATTTGGTTTATGGCACATGTGTCACATGTTCCTTCCAATTGTATGACTCGTTGATTGGCCACGTCCCATTTCTCGAGGGGTGGCTTGGATCACAGCAAAGGCTTGCCCCCAAAACTGTCCTCGTCGATCCGGTCCCCAGGAAATCGATCCCCGAGGCCCAAGCAGGTTTTTCCCCCCTGCGCCATTTTCAGATGGCTCACTCTGGCTCCTTTGGTTACAAATGGATCCACTGGACCGCTTTCTGATCGTTGCAAGAGCCGGCCAATGGCAAAGGTTGCGGAGAATAGGACTCGGTTCAAGCCGACTAGGCGCAAGAAAGCCCGAACTGGGGCGACCCAAATGGCTGATATGTCTTTCCGGTCTCCCGTCTAGAACCCTTAGAGGAGCACCGTCCAAAAACAGAAACACACGCACACACACACAGACCCTCAAAGCAATTCATCTAAGAGTTTTTACTAAACCCAAAACACACACTACCCTCAAAAAAACGACAAATCCAAAAAACAAACAAACAAACAAAAAAGCCACTCAAAAAGACGAAGACACATCTTTCAAACTCCGTCCAAAAAAAGATTCCACTACACCCATGCCCCTGCACCCAATGCCTCTCTTTTGAGAGTATGATGGGTATCTGCCCTGGGTTTTCCAGGTTTTCCATACGACAAATAATTCCCCTAAAGCGCTGGCTGATTGAAAGTACCACTCAAGCAAGTCGAGGTATTTACCCTGCATTTTCCAGGTGTTCCAGAGAATATTTCAGGAAAATGCATCACATGTCATTTGGCCATGAGGCATAACTTATGGCTCCATTTTGGAGTGGATGAACATCCATTTGCCACCTATTTTGAGGTTCACCCGAGGTTTCCTGGGTTTTGACCCACAGCCATTTGAGTAGGGGCAGTCGTCCTACTGTGGATGGACGAAATCCTGCACCACCTTGAAACCATGGTAAACCATTGTCTGTTGATGTCTGTTGGTATTTCAATGGTTTCTTGGGTGCTGCGAAATGGATTTTGCACCCATCCACAGTACCAAGCAGCAGGGGACCAGGTTTTAGTCATTGTTTCCATTTACCAGGGTGCCACTTTGGGTACCTAATTTTGGCCCACAGCCGTTTGAGTAGGGGCAGTTGTCTTACCAAAGCCTCACTTGCCCAAAGGACCTGGAAACAAAAGGTTTACCTTTCGGGGCCATGACTTAAAGTGGACCAAAACGGGAAAACCAAAAGGTCAAACAAAAGGTCGGCTTTGGGCAACTCGGAAGCCTGTTTGCGGAGGAGGGGGGGGGGGGCTTGCGCCGCGCTGCCGACCATCAGCGCCAGGGCCATGCAGGGCATCCGGGAGACCTCGATGGGCCGAAGGTTCAGCGCCATGCCGGAGGAGACCACTCCTGCCCAACGTCTACACGAAGCTTTCGCACATATATATATATATATATGTACACAAGCATAGTGTACATATATATATATACCTACATATTTATGTACACCTAAGCATGTGTATATATGTATATGTATATGTATATGTATATGTAGAGATACGTATGTATATATATATATATATATTTATATATATATATACATATTATGGGGAGGGGGGATGGGTGAGGAGGGAGGCGGAGGGGGGGGGGGGGGCGGAGGGGGGAGGTAGGGGCCTGGACCATTCATATGCGAACAGACAAAATAAGGGGGCACACAACTCATTTGCATTTGCATAGAACAAACAAAATATACAATAGAGACAAAAACTATGCATATTCATGTACTTCTTTATTGATTTATTTATTTGTTTATTTACATACGTACATATATGTATATAAATATATGTGTATATGTATATTATCTGTTCAATGAATGGTTCATTTATTTACTTGCTCGTTTACTTTACCTGTTGCAAACAACAGCCGCGCAGTTGTTGGCTGGGTACACCGCGGCACTGGCCTTGAGCAATGGGCCCACAGGTGGCGGCCGCTCGGGGCGCTGAGGTATATTCAGACAACAACTTGCTGGTTCTCAGTAGGGAATGAGAAATTAAATGACCCCTATAAACCATTCAACTGGTGGTTTCCTTTGAGAAATTAATCCCTGGGTTCATTCCCACAAACCCCCTACTGAGCACCCGCAAGACAATTGAAACACAAGGGTATGTGTGTAAGGGGACCCTACAAAAATGATCGGTTTGTGGGAGCCAACCCCAGAACGATTCCCTTTCAAGGAGTTTGTCTCGAGTTATTAGACATTGGAGCCCCCATCTCCAGATGTTGTTGTTGTCGAAGTTACCTTTTTTTGGACTACTTTGAAAGGGAAAGCAGAACCTGCCCCCATGACTTGTTTTTTGGAGAACCCGACGGGGAAAGGGCACATAAGTTTAAGCAGGAAAACACTTCACCGACTCCCCTCTCATTTATAGATCTTGGAATCCCGTCGGTGTTGAGCCCACACCTTTCTTGCTTGCCCCCCCCTTTTCTCTGCCATGCCCAGAACACCCGCTCATTCGAATGCTCGCTTGAGGGAAACTCAGCGCCCAAGTGTTCACGACGGCCGCCTGAGGGGTTGGATCCTGTCCAGCGAAACCGGGTCATGAGAACAAGCGCAGCCAAAATGATTGGTGCCCTTCTTGGTTTCCCTGCCGAGCCACGCCAAACAAAGGGTACCAACTCAAAACACAAACCCATTTCGGCGTCTCTTCTGTTTGAGGGTTCCCTTTTTTGGCTTCCTCTTAAAGCTTAGTAACCCGAACTCCAAGAGTGTCTTTGTTGGGATTCGGACCCCCCCTGGAGAATGGGAAGGGTTCCCTGTGGTTTCCCTTTAAAGCCCACAACACCAAAAGACACCCCCTTTTGACGCACAAAAGGGCACGGCCAAACCTAAATGGTGAAGACTGATAACACAATTCCCGTTTGGGCGAGCAAAGGTCACAACTAACCTAAAATGAGGGACTTGGGAATTGTGCCATACACATATACATATGCATATACATATACACATATACATATCTATACACATACATGTATGTACATACCTAGTGCGACTAAACCCTAAAAAAAACAGGGTGTAAATTGAACTATTTCGCCTAGTATTTCTGAAAACCCTGGGTTCCGAAAGAATAACCCGGTTTTGCAGAGTGCACCCGGCATTTAAGCCGTACAAACCTCGTAGTTAACCCGTACTAACCCCGTATTGTTCATCTGCTTGTAGAAACCAGGTTTGCAATTCTTAAACCCCGCTTTTTTGGCACACCCTGCCTAGTTTCAGGGTTTTGCTGCTCTAGGTATATGTATATATATATATACCCGGCATATCACCGAAAAAGGCCGCTTTTGCGGCCTTCCCCCGCAAACCGCCGACCGCCGAGCCCCCAAACGGATGTCGCCTGCGGTGGAGACGCAGAAGCCGAGGAGCTGCTGCCAGGCGCGTGCGCGCGGGTGGAGCACCAAGTCGCCCAGCAGATCCCCCAACTTCCGCACCTCCGCTCGGCGCTTTGGGATGGAAACCCCCCAAGAGAGCAACATATGAGTGTGTCTTTTTTTAGGGCAACCCCAAAATGGGTTTTGGTTTTCCTTTAGAATCAACCAAAAGGGGTACCCTCAACAAATCCCCTAAGAGAGCCACAGATGGGAAACCACTCCTCGACCACCAACCCAAACCACCAATCAGAGGGAAGCTGAGATTTGGGGGCATGTGTTCGCGTTGGATTTGATAGATGTTGACATTTTAAGAAGCCAAAACAGATGCTGCAGATGGATTCGGTCTTTTTTGCTTTTCTTTGTTTGCTTGCTTTTTCTCTTTTATGTTTGTAGTTTGGTACATGGACCCGACTTGCCCCTGGCTCTTGAAGCTTGAGCCACACTCGTATAACCACCATTCTTTACATAAGGATTGACATCATCCAAATTGGGTCGACCACTATGTTTTAGGGGGGATAGAACCAGCCACAAGCACAGGTGTCCTTTTTGGTTGAAAATAGATGGCTCTGGATGAAGAAACAACAAGATCGACCAGGAATCGCCATCTATGTTTGACCAAAACAAGAAAAATAACACCTATGGCTACAGGAGCTTTTACAGGAATTTGTCCACTTACCCACCAAACACAAGGATTCCTGTAGAATGTGCTGTAGTGTGGTGGTTCTTCCGGTTTTTGAGGGTACTCCCCCTCTTTATTGGTGTTAATTGGTGTTAAAGGCGAACCAAAAGGACAACCACGATTTGTTTGCGTGTTTGTTTGTTTGTTTGCTTGTTTGTTTGTTTGTTTGCTTTGCTTTGCTTTGTTTTCTTTGTTTGGGGGGTCCCCTGAAAAAACACCCGCCCTCTGAAGGCGACAAGGACAAAGGACGAACAACGTTCGCGTCCTGAGAAACCCATGTCCTTAGCCAAAAACCCTGGTTTTTGTGAGTATTTGGCGAATTGGAGAGGGTTTCTTGGAGGTGTGTCTCAAAATAGGAGGGGGGGGGGGGGCGGGGCAAAAGGGGGGGGGGGCAAAATGGCGTCGTGTTTACGGCTGTTCTTGTAAACCAGCCTAAAAAGAGTCCCTCAAAACAAGCACATGAATCTGGTGCGTCTCGAAATATACTGTAGCAAGTGGTGTCTTCCATGCGCACAGAAAAGGGATACCATGAGAAAACCACCCATCTGAGGCACCTATCAACGCCTATCAATGGCTTTGTCTTTTTAGAGGGTCCCATCTTTTTTTGGGAGGTTGAACACAATGTACATAGACACTTGTCTTGGCTCCAAAGGTGTGAATTCAACTAAGGACCCTTTGGTGGACATCATTTACGAGATTCATGTCCCCCACTTTTTAGGTGGCTCCCTATTAAACTTCGTAGCCACATGCAAGAATACGAGGCACGGTTTAAGCCAGTTGTTGTACCAAGAGGACATGGGTCCCTCCCAAAGGGCCAGCTGGCAATTTTTTAAGACCGAACCGCATGTTTGGGAAAGTTGCCGGTAGGGGGCATGCGCAATGGTTTAGTCGTCCCTCTGCATTTTCTTGGTTTCTGCGATATCCTCTCATGCCCTTCCCAAACTGATCATGGACGAGTGGACATGTTGACCAAGAAGCTTAGAATGGCGCATTGCATGCAATCGCAAGTAATGGACACTCCAGACTTATCAACTCTCGGCGTATCAAGAGGGGGGGTGCTCTTTTAGTGGGAACTCATTACTTTTGCAGGGACACCCTATAAATAGGATGTGGTCATGCATCCTAGAATCCAATCGATCTGCACCTATCCTGGACGTGCTCGCCTATTAGAAATGCTTGCTCAGGGCTCAGCTTCTCACTTCCTGGCCAACAACCTTGTTGCTTGTCCCGTCCCATAGAAGATCAAAGTGCAGGAACTCAGAAATTGAGCCTTTCGGAGCTACATGGATCCTTTAGGACACATCCACCAACCCCATTTGAGGCTAGAATTCTCCGGTCAGAGTCTTGCAGCTCGAGAAACCATCCCATAAAATCAGCTTCCCTCTGACGGGTCAGCTGGTTTGGTGGCTAAGGGTTTTTCCCATCTACCCAAGCCAACAGCTCTCCAACCCGGGGTCCAATTCAGGGCAACCTGATTTCAGGGGATCAGAATGGGCCATGCATCCAAATGGAAGGGGGACCCCCAAAATGGCACGTTGCGGTGTTCTTTTTGGGGTCCCTTTCAAGCAAGCCTAAGAAGGATACCGACAAGAAAGCACACATATGCCTTAAGTACTGCATAAATCCGCCGACCCTCTGCCTCCCGTCCCAGCATCCTGCAGAGGGGACCGGCGTGGGATGCAACTGGAAGTGATTGGAATCAATGATAGTCCCTGGAATACACGCCCGAACCCACAAAAAGTGGATTCCCAGGACCGGTCCCGGGACTGGTCCCGGGACCGGTCCTGGGACCAGTCCTGGGACCAGTCCTGGGACCGGTCCTGGGACTGGTCCTGGGACCCTGGTTCTGCTCTTTCAAATTACTTGTAGTCAGCCAAAGTCCCGGGACCGGTCCCGGTCCCGGGTCCCAGGTTGCGACCAGTCCTGGGACTGGTCCTGGGACTGGTCCCAGGACCAGTCCCAGGACCGACCAGTCCTGGGACCAGTCCTGGGACCGGTCCTGGGACTGGTCCTGGCCAGTCCTGGGACCGGTCTGGGAAGCCGGTCCGGGATCAAGTCCTGGTGTGACCGCTGGTATTGGGTCCCAATTCAAACTGCTGTGCTGCCACCTCAAACCGCTCCAGACACGTTTCCGGACTGGCACCCAGGACACTGGACAGGGTCCCAGGTCGTCACTCCGTGCGACCAAACCGGCCCGTGCGGTTATTGACGTCCTTGTGGTAGTAGAGGATCCCTGGATCTATTCTGCAAGAGAGTCCAATACTAAGTCAAACCGCGCCAGACTGGGACCAGCCTGGACAGGGTCCCAAGTCCCGGTCCCTGCCGGCGACCGGTCCAGGGCAACTTCGGGAGGGCCAGTTTCAGGGCGACCCCGGGAGAGGCGACTGCTCCCGGCCAACTCGAAGTGACTTGGGCGCAAGCCGGCCCAAGCGGTAATTAACGGACTAGCTGCCCTATTTCTGACTTTTCCGTTAATCCTTGTTTGTGGTCAACTTCGGGAGGGCCAGTTTCAGGGCGACCCCGGGAGAGGCGACTGCTCCCGGGCCAACTCGAAGTGACTTGGGCGCAAGCCGGCCCAAGCGGTAATTAACGGACTAGCTGCCCTATTTCTGACTTTTCCGTTAATCCTTGTTTGTGGTCGTAGAGGATCTTATAAGTGGTCCCTGGGTTTGCGGACGTGTTTCAGGACCGGTCCTTGTGACTTTTCCCTTAATGCGCCGAGGGTCGGCGGCAGCAGGCGGGAGCCTGGTTAATATATAGATATAGATGTGTACATATATATATCTATATATATATATATGTCTGTATACAATATGTGATATGTATGCTCCATATCTGATAAGCTCAGGTGATATCCCCAACAGCAGGCGGTGCTCTTTTAGTGCTCGCACCACCCCGCAGCCCTCGCAGAACCTCGTGGAATCGTGGAACCCTGGGCTGAGACCCCAAAGCTTTCAGCTGTTGTGGAATGACCCATTAAAACAAAAACCTTGATATCCTGAGAGGCTTTGCCAAAGTCGAAACTGCTTGCTTGACTCGAAGTGTGAAGCGCAGGAGCTTAGGGCCTTCGGAAGTGAGTTGTGTCACCATTGAACCGGAGCAATACTGTGGATGGACGAAATCCTGCATCACCCAAGAAAATATATAATTATGGTTCCCCTGTAAATACCAACAAATAGTGGTTTCCCATGGTGTCAAAGTGGCGCAGGATTTCGTCCATCCACAGTACGAACTCCAGGAGTAATCTGCCGTGGAAAAGAGCCGCACCAAATTTGAGCCCAGCATAGTCCATGCTTGTGGAACATGGTTGCCCCCTATGCCAAACCGAGTGCGATCAATAGGGTCTGGGAAGATGAAAGATTGCCCGCCCTGCCACGAACATGGAACATGGCGTTTCGGGGTCCTCGTTTGGACCCTTTCCTTAACAGGGACCAACACACACACACAACACAACACACACACACACACCACACACACACACACACACACTACACCCAAACCACTGCTTACCCTCAAAAAAAACAACAAACCTACAAAGCCAAGTGGGGGTTGATACATATTCCCCTCGGTCCCCGGTTTTGACCACGGGAAACTTTTCGCGTGTGGGAAATATATAAAAATCATGTTGGTGGTTTTCCAACCAACGGTCATCCCATGGGCGTTGGACCTTTGACTTAACCACCGTATAGAGATACGGTTTTTATATTTGGTTTGTGGCCCAGTGCCTTCACTATCCAGTTATATGAATGATTCATTGACAGCGGGTGTCCCATTTCCTGAATTCCCGAGTGGATGGGCCGAAAAAAGCAACCAAGTAACCACACTTCTTTGTTGCTACTAAAATGGTCCAAGCCCAAAAAGTTGTTCAAGTCCAGGAACTCGGGAAGTGAGCTTTTCCATTTGAGAGGCGCTCTGGACCCTTGGTCAAGCCCCAGGTCTTCGGTTTCCCATTTTTGCCACGGCGCCAAGCTCCAAATGGCCTCGAAGGGCTGAAAGAGCCTAGGTTTTTTTGTCCGATCGGGGAACCCGCGGACACGTTTCTCCAGAGGTATCCCCACAAGACATGCCAAAAATCTGTGGGGCGGGGGGCTTTAGCTGTTCAAAGGGCAAACTTTTATGGGGTGCCCCGAATGTTCAATAGTTGTCCTTGTATGTCTCCCTTTAAACTAAGCCTTAATGAGGATGCAAACCGCCTCAAAACACACGCCCCCTGCAACCACGCAGGGCTGTACCTGAAACGGAGCCGAAGGCATCCTCGGATCAAAGCCCGACCCCTGACCCCCGACGGTTCTCCCAAAGGACTCGGCAAGGACCCCCTAACATGGTTGCTTTTCTTTTAGCTTCCCTTTGAAACCAAAAAGAGGGCCCCCCCAAAAAAAAGACACATCCAATCTTTAAAACCACGTTCATATTTGTTCAGCAAAAGTCGGAGCCCGGCAAGGGACGCAGGATTGTACCATCAATCAAGGCCAACCCCCTGAGCCCTAAGTGGTAGGTTAAAGATCAGTGCAAATTGACATGCTCCTTTGTGAAAGTAGATGACGGGATTCCCTTTAAGTGGGTAAGCAAAGGGGTTACTAAACCAAAATGGGGGAATTTGATACCCCCAATCCAAAAACTGCGGGTTGGACAAATGAGATACAGAACCCACATGTTCCCCCTTGGCTTGCCTGTCAACCACCTGGGTGCCGAGCCTGGAAAACACAACGAGCCAAAACAAGCAACCCAGAGCAAAGCGAAATTGAGCCCGTTCATGTTGATGGGGTCATCAACCCCAGCTCAAAAAATTAAGGCGGTGGGGGCCTCCAAAAGCGGTCTGACTCTTCACACCCAGCACCGCTGTATTCAAAAACTGGGATTGATGAATACTGTTGATGGACAAAATCCTGCACCAACTAAGAAACCCTGGAATGATGCTTTCTCTGCATATACCAACAAGCAACGCTTTCCCATGGTTTCAAAGTGGTGTCGGAGTTCGTCCATGCACAGTAATCATTGGGTTGACATGATGTGCAACCCTAGACTCATGCTAGAAAACCGTGCGAAAACCATGTCACCCATGGTTTGATCCAGGTCCCCGGCCATTTGAACACGAACCCGACTCTCTTAGAAGACTCTTTGCCGCTTCTGGGACCCCTGTACGCTTCAAATCATGTTGCATATTTGTTTGGTCTACCCTAAACTACCACGTACTTTTGGAGAAGACTCCAGAAAAAGAAAAAAAAAGGAAAAAACTGGTGGAACAATGTCACACATCCCTCCAAGCTTGGAAGGTACGGTGGATTTGACTTCATTTTGGAGAACCTGGAACGCTTAAACAAAAGGGAAACCTGCCAGAATTCGAGCTCAATACCCAACCTAGGTCCTCCAGTACAGAGGTTAGAATAAGGGTACCCTTTTTTCTGTAGTCTATTTTAGTAACCCTCCCCCACCTAGCTCGGGGACCTAGCAACTGTGTTCGGGAAGGTTTCCAGGGAAACCGCTGCTTTCGCATCGGAGCGGCCAGGGCGTGCGCGTGCCGCTCCTCTCCGCGGCGCGCATGGACGTCGCCTTCGCGTCGACGCGGGCGGCGAGGCTTTGGACGCGGGCCTCCAGAAGGTCGACGCGCTGGAGGAAGCTGCCCAAGGACGTGCCTCGGGGCTAGGCTGGAATTAGGACCCCAGCAAAAATCATCTTTGCTGCCTGGTAACAAAGGGAACCCCAAGAAAGGAAAAAACAAAAAGGGAGCTAGTTCTGGGGAAGGGGGCTTGTCCATCCCTACCTAGAGTCTCCATGACCCGAATCAAAAATAGGTCCATGACCCCAATATTTAGGGTAATGACCAACCATTTTTAAAGGGTCATGGAGACTCTAGGTACCTTAAGAAGGAGGGGGTGGGGAGTGGAGGGTCCTGCCCTTTTGGACCCAAGTAGAAAAGGGACAATGGGTTGCCGTAGATGGAGATCTCCAGTCGACATGCCCCTCCTCCAATTTCATGTTTAAGGGGATGGGGATGCTTATTTAACTTCCGATCGAGATGGGCCAAAAGAAGGTAATCAGGCCTTTTATCTACAACTGAAAAACTTCCAAACCCAAAAAGCGAAAGTCCGAAAAGGAACTCAGGGCCAGAAACATGTGACCAAACTTGTTATTACCGTGTCTTCTGAGTTCAAAGTCCGGAAAAAAATAAAAAATAAAAATAAAAAAATAAAACAACAAGTTCCCCAAACAAAAAAATACACAGGCTTCCCCACGGGTGGTCAGGGGCCTTCCAAAATTACCTGAGCATGGGATGGAAAACACATGTACAACTTATTTGGCTACTATTTCTATTAGTTGAATTTTCTCGCAAATGATTGGTACACATTATATAAGTCCCCGGCTATCATAGCCACCAAAGGACCTAATTAAAACTCATACTCCGAGAAGATATGGGACAATTAGTACCCCTGTTTTTTGTTCCTCCCAAATAGACCTGGGCCGTTGTTGTGTTCCATGGCTATCTCACAAGAGGCTGGTTGAAAACCGACCTGCTTTTTAAGCCCGGTTGGAATTGTGCGATTCCGAGAATCAGAGCAGGGTACCCTTCTTACAATGACTTGAGTCCAGGAGGAACACTTTGGGGGTTGAAACTGCCTTATCACCAACGACATGGACCTTAAAGCAAAGACAAGTTGAGTTCTCATGGATTGCTGTAGCCCAGTTCAACAGTTCAACCAATCACAACTTAGCTGATCTCTGGAGGCAATTGTCAGCTTTCAAGCGTGTTGTTCAGCGCTTTGTCTGCCTGGTGAATCCAAGAAGCCTACCGAACAAGGATTGTGATTATAATATATACGTATGCATGTTGTATATATCCAGAGAACAAGACATACGGTGGATGGTTGCGAAATCCATTTCGCACCGCCTAAGAAACCCTGGAATGATTCGGTTCCAACAAACAATGGTTTCCCATTGTTTCAAAGTGGTGCAGGATTTCGTCCATCCACAGTCGTGATCCGTATAAAACGACCTGACGTGCACCACCTGCCTGTGTGTGAACAAGAAAGCTGATATGAGACGCTGCTCCAAACTGGGGGTATTCGGGCAGGGGACGCTCCAAATATTTTAAACAAATCCGCGATCCTAAACCAGGATCCCTGTAAGGAGGCCACTACAAATGGAACCGCTTCACCCAGTTGCCCAGTTGCCCAGTACACTGGGTAAACAACGGGAACCCTGTTTGCCCTTCCGCATTGTTCTTGTGAGACCCCACAAACCAAAAAGGGGGCAAAGGGCAACCCCTCACACGGTTTTGTTTGCTTACATTGTTTGTTTGGCGACATTGTTTGGCCCCGGCCTTGCTGCTGGTGCAGGTGCAACTGCAGATTGGATTGCAACAGCGTCACCTGCGCTGAAGGTGAGGGGGGCAGCTTCTTCTTCACCCGAAAGGTTTGAGGTTGTTAGAGTTCACCACCAGCCTAGAGTGCACCACCAGCAAACCAGAGGTCTCCCAAAGCATCTGCCCAAAGCATCTGCGCAGAGGCCGAGATGTAGTCCGCTGGATTGGCCGGATTGGCCTTTGAAAAAGCCACTCGCTCTGGCTGAGGAAAGGAAGCCATGCCCTTGGCAAACCAAAGGAACACCTCGGGAATGCACAGGAAACCTACCCGTTGGTTTTGGTGAACCAAAGGACACCCACCAAGTCTCTACAAGGTGATTTTCTTGGAACCAACCACATCCAACCACAAAACCTCAGTGAGTGAGACTCAAAAATAGTGGATCCTCTTTTGGCACTCAAAGAGAATCCAACATGAAGCCAACCATTTGAGGGGGCCCTCCCGCGAAGGAAAAGGGACCCATAGATTCTGAGAAACACCTCATGCCAAACCGAAAGGAGGCACGTAGCCTTCAGAGAGCTCGCGCAACGCGCTCGGCCCCGTCCAACACGAACCCAGGGCTTGCAGCTCTCAAAGCGCCCAACCCTAACCCACGGAATTGAACAAGAGTTGAATCCGCTCACTGTCCGATGTATTTGACTCTCCTTGGTTTAAAAAAAAATGGAAATGGAGGGCTTTGCTTCTTGCTTTTGTTTTCTGGGCATAAAGGACAAATTAACTTGTCCTAACTGAATATGGGTGAGTCCTTGTGAAGCAAGGTACCTGTTGGTTCAAAAGGAAACCAATTGGACAACTATCCACTCTGTGGGTCCCAGGAAAAGACAGACCCATATGTTGATTTGCTTACACATCTGGATCACAACCCGCATTCAGTCAATCAGTCGCCGGGCCTGCTGACAAAGGTAAATGGGTTTGTCGCTGTCGGAGGGTACCAATCGCTTTGGGCAGGGCTGGGAAGGTGGAAAATCCCTTACTGTGGATGGTTGCGAAATTCATTTCGCGCCACCTAAGAAACCCTGGAATGATTCGATTCCCCTGGAAATACCAACGAACAATGGCTTCCCATGGCTTCAAAGTGGTGTAGGATTTCGTCCATCCACAGTATGATTCGGGTCAGGGATGGTCATCCACCTGGTTGAAACCCAAAAACCATCAGAAGAATTCCGGCGTTATGGGAACCATGACCCATAAGCCATGGTTACGAAATCCGCTTCTCGCACCGCTCGCCCCGTGAAATGGCCACCCAAATGCAGGCCACGGTGTGCATGGCCCCTGACTCCGCTTTTGCTGCTAAAATGCAGGTCCGGTTGAGTCAGTTGTTTCTAAACAAAAAAACGGACAGACACACACACACACACAGACACACACACACACACACAAAAACAACACACACAGACACACACACACAGACACACACACACACACAGACACACACACACAGACACACACACACACAGACACACACACACACACACACAAAGACACACACACACAGACACACACACAGACACACACACACACACAAACACACCACACAGACGCACACACACACACAAAGACACACACACAGACACACCACACACAGACGCACACACACACACACACAAAGACACACACACAGACACACACACACAGACACACACAGACACACACACACACACGGTCACACACACAGAGACACTCACAGACAATCACAGACCAGCACAGACACGCACAGACACACACCCACAGACACACACACACACACACACACACACACACGCACAGACACACACACACACAGACACACACACACACACACAGACACACACACAGACAATCACAAATCACAGACCAGCACACACAAACAGACACACACACAGACACACACACACACACAGACAGACACACACACACACAGATATACACACAGACACACACACACACACACACACACACACACACACACACACACACACACACACACACACACACACCGACACACACCCACACAGACACACACACACACACACAGACACACACACAGACACACACACACACACTCACACACAGACACACACACACAGACAGACATAGACACACAGACACACACACACACAGACAAACACACACACACACACCAGCACCCAACAAATGCTTTTGGGCAGCGCAAACAGGATGTTGGACCTGACAGAAACCATGTGTTGAGCTGCCAAAGCTTTGGATTTGTTTCAGCTGTTTCCTCAGGGAGGTGCCTGACTACACCTACAGGACTACTTGAGAGTCGATGGTTTCCGCCCAAAAATATGTCAAGAGCGTATATGTTCCAGTCCCCAGGCCGCCTAACCCCCACGGATCCCCCCCTCCCAAGGGCCCCTGGAGCCCGGCCTGTGGTTTTTCAGACAAGAAAACCACGGGGCGAGGTTTTCCGGCATGGCCGGATCCAGATACTGGCAAACACATGTGGATCCTTTTTTGACACAAAAGAAGTTGAGTAAGGAAAACCCACATTTGACACCTCCGACAGTCGGCCCAAAGCTCATTTAGACACACATGGCTATCCAAAAAAAAATCTGGACCGATGGTTGCGGTCCTTTTGGTCACTGGGCGGGTGGGGAACACGGCTCTGCCTGATGGCTTCTCCTGGCTTCCACGGGCTTGCCTTCATCGTGGCAGATGTCCACAAAGCTTCCAGGGTTCTGGGCATGTGCCCTTTGGGTTTGACCGTGGGGGGCTCAAATTCCCATTTTGACGTTTTTTGTGAAAGGCCTAAGGAGCTAGCCGCGCCAGTTTCGCTAGCCCACAGGCTGCCAAAGAGGGGGTCAGCAAAAGAGGAGCAACAAACCTGCAATCTGTCCTTCTTAATTAGGTGTTTCGGCCAAGTTACTTGTAGCTGGTTGTCAGCAACCTGGGCTCTAACCCACTCGAAAGCCTCCTCAAGTGGGGTTCACCCAGTCACTAGTGGGTTGTAAGGTGGCTGACCACTTACTAACTTGGCCGAACAACCAAGTTTTCGGAAACTAACCAATACTGTGGATGGTTGCAATCCTGCACCACAAACCATTGTTTGTTGGTATTTACAGGGAATCCAATCATTCCAGGGTTTCTTAGATGGTGCGTTGCATGGATTTCGCAACCATCCACAGTATGGTTTGCTGTTTGGCACCCAGCCCAGGCTCGCCTGCATGGTTTCCTCATCCTCGAAGTCGCAGGTGGTGCTGGTCACGCAGACCAAGCACAGCAGAAAAGTTCTGTACCTGATGGGCGGATGGATAAGGATACACAACTACTTGGTTGCTTTCTGCTCCCTGCTAAAAGTTTTTAACTTTTAGTTGTTTAGTGCAAAACCCATTAGTTGGCAAAAAGTTGAAGTCCTAACATCCAAGCAAAATGCAACAAAGACTATATAGCTATATATAGGGCGTGTCTCAAAATAGGGGGACCCCGAAAAGAGTAGTTGTTTCTTGGTTTCCGCAGGGATTAGTAGAACGAAGAAACCGCTAATATTGACATACTTGAAGGGGGCATCAGCTATCGTAGATTGCCTAGATGCCAATCGAGTCAACCAAACAAAGACCATGGAGTCCGGCTCAGAAATGACTATCATTCGCCAAGGAGGCATGTGGGATGCTAAAACCACTAAAAACAAGCTAATATAAACTAAGGAAGCGAATGCCTGGGAACCTCCCCTCGCAACATCTGGATTTGTTTCGGTCCTGCGACTAGCAAGACTTTGAAGCTGAACTGCAAATTATTTCGCATAGCTCGGTTAGACCCCATGGAACCCCTGCAAAACACATAAAACGCTTGTGCATAAGGGATTGGACCCGAAGAAAACAAAGAAGAGTTGTGGTGTTCCTTTTTGGCTTCCCTGTAAAACGGCGCCAAAAAGATGGTTTCTCAAAAACCACAAAAACAAAAAACACCCACATGGGACTCCGGGACGGGGCCAAACTTCATGTGGTCGACGGGCTGACACATGCGCCCGGGCATGTCTCCAAGCTAACGAAACAGAGGGAAGGGATGTCTAAGGTATACCTGGACCCTCAAAATTCCCCTTAGAAATGGGGGAATTCCGCAACCATAATTTGGGGTTGCAATAACCCATTTTCAAGTTGGAATGTTGAGGGCGCAGGTCCTTTTTACACCAAATACCCACTGTGTGTAGGGGCAAAAAGGTCGGCACTCAGCAAAGCTCATGAACCTCAGGTGCTATGGACCACAACACAGACACCCACACGCACACACGCAGGCAGACACGCACTTAAACGCCTTGAAAGCTGAGAGGACTTTCAGCAAGCACAGCGTTCACAAGTAGTCGGTGGTACACCCCCTTCTCTCACAAAAATAGGGTTTCCCCGTTGGTTTAGAACACACGAACGGGATATCCTCGAAAAACAAATGACCCATGCCCCTGGTTTGCGGCAGAACCAAAACCTGCTCCGACCGTCAGGTTCCATGTCGGAGATTGTTCCGCAAAGGAACCTACCTGACTTGCAAGAACGACAACTGGAAATAAAAGGTGATCACCTTTGTTGGGTCACTAAACATGGGCCATGCCAATAAAGTTAGACGGTCGACTCGCTTTGGGCAAGTAAGATGAGAAGAACGAGTGCTTTAACCCCAGAGGTTTTACCTTTTGGAATAAGAAACGCTCCAAGACATGGCGACGCCTCCGGCCCCTTGTCGAGCGGTGGCGAAATCTGCGAAGCCCTGCTACACGTTTTTAACTTTTAGTGGCTTGATACGGAAAACCCACGAGTTGGCACAAAGGTAAAGCCCCCTTGGCAAAATGCAAAGTTGTGTTAGCTTATCGAGTGCACATTTCCCGAGCTAGTCCCAGCTGCCAGCTTCGCATGCCGAGGCCGAGGGATTGCGGCCGGCTGTGAGCCGAAAAATCCGGATTTGACGGTGTCAGGGGACCTGAGGATGGTTTTCCATTGGGGTCTGTCTGTCGTTTTTCGAGTTGGTACCCCGAAAAATACAAAATTTTGAGGCAGAGCCACTTTGAGGCACAGCCATTTGGTGGCCCGTTTAACTGTTAACCATGGAGCCAAGAGGGGCTATGGTGAGGGCTATCCCTTATTAACACGCCTTAAGGCCTGATGAAAGGCTTCTCCTTGGCTATGCGCTCTTCCTAGGCGTATCCAAAAATAGCCCCCTGCCCCATAGGTGTCCTGTTGGAAAAATAGATGGCCCTGGCAAATGGGGCCTAAAACCCATCAAAACCCAGCGCCTGCTATTTATATGCACACGAACCGATCAAAAGGACACCTATGCCCCTGCCCCGCCAGAGGATTCTGCTCACCCGTTATGGCTTGGAGTTGGAGTTGGAGTTGGTCCCTGGTTCTTGTGGGACGGAAAGCCAAACCCCTGAACCACCAAACCACCCAACCAGGAGGCAAGCTGAAGGATTTCTTTTCCAGGCGCAAAACTAAACCGCTGGGGCTACGCGGGTTTTAGTTCTGCTTCTATATACAAGGTGCCGCGTTGAATACCTTTTTTTGGGCCCGAGCCATTTGGTGTCCATTTAAGCCGCCCGAACAAGGGTTCAAACAAAAACAAAGCCATTCACACAGCTTTTCGCGCGCGCAACACAAGAGGGGAAAAACACACAGGAGACGTGGAGTCCGCCCCGATTGGACACAGTAGGCCGTGGGAAGCCGCACGCCAAGTCATTACAGGACAATGGGTGCATTTGCGTCCCGTACCTCATGGTGGAATTCCATTCACGAGGCAGAAAACAAATTGCGATTGACGCGTGGCCACCAGCGGATTTCTCCCCTGAGTGCTACAAGACTGCGAAAGACTGCCAAAACGAGCAATTTGTAGACGTCAAAAAGATTGGGGCTAACATGGTGTCTAAGCAGATGCATCTACCGCTTACCAACCTAACATGAGTAGAAATAACCTTCATCATGTGTGCCAAGATCTACAGGAAGTTCGGGAAAGCGTTCTCGTCTTGTGCCCATGGCTTATTCTTTGTTTGCCTTGCAGCCAAGTGGGTCTTCCCAAACACGCAACATGAGTAACCAATGGTTAGAGAATAACATCCGAGAGTTTCCGAAAGAAACTGACCGAAAGGATCACCTGCCACGCCTGCTTACATCTAGCAAAGGCAAGATCATGGCAATGCATCTATGGATTGCCAATTTCATGGTACTTCTCCTGGCGGCTCAATGTTGTTTCCCTACAAAGCGTCTGAAAATGGGGTCCTATCCATGCCTTCTGTTTGATTCAAAGTCATCGTGTCATCGGGACAGGTTTCCAATTTGGCACAAAGAACTGGCTACCACTTGTGCTTTGGAAAGCAAATCGCAAGCCAAAGAAGCGCGTGCATTCAAGTAGAGGCGGGGAGAGAGGGTTGAACATGAACTAAGCACAAGGTCAACATGAGCCTAGTGCTTCATTCATATATCAGGGTGTGCAGTGCAGCAATCTGCACTCGATGCTATTCGGTTCATCCTTTCAACAAACTATACTCACTTGCCCAAAGGACCCAGAAATGAATGGCTATTAATTTGGGGCCATCACTAAAAATAGGCCGAAATAGAGAAACCAAAAAAAGGTCGATTCGCTTTGGGCAAGTGAGTATGATTTATCAAAGTAAATGGACCTGGGAAATTTATTAAGAAGCGTCGCCGAAAAAAAACAACATCATTTGTCCTGCTTGCGCATCTTCGGTGGGCACTTTTTTCTGGGTTTTTCCGTTTTGAGCAAAAAATAACGCTCATTTCATCCAAAAACGCGCAACTCGAAAGAAACCGCTCAATTGGAAAATGGATCTGGTGCGTGTCCGCAATTTTCCGCTCATTTGCCAGGGATTTCCGCTCATTTCCCGCCGATCTCCGCTCATTTTCTGGGAGAAAACTTGCCAAATCATGGCAAATCAAGGTTTCCGCTCATTTGTTCAGTTTCCGCTCAAAATCTGAAACGAGCAAACAAAAATGCGCAGAGCCCCAAAAAGTGACCAAATAGAAGACCCAGGTCGATGGGCTGGTTTTCAACATTCATTTGCTTGCGTAAGTCCCCTCAACAAGTAAACACATTTCTAGCAGCAGCTTCCTGTAGAAACTAACAGGGGAACATTAAACCAAACACCCCAACAACATGGACACTTAAATGTACAATCATAAAGCTGGCGCAGAGCTCTCCGCAAAAAACCCTCCATGCGTGTGGTCACATTCCGTGCAACAACCGCCGCTTGTGGGAACTCATCGTTCTGCAAGACTTCCGACCGTGCTTCAGTTATAATCACGAATGAAAATGAACCCGTGACACCACCCTACTGGGGATGGACAAACTCCATCACCAGGTGAGCGACTCTAAAAACCTCCCATGAACCCCTATGTCGTGTCAAGTTGCTTACGCGCAAGCTTGCGCTTTCCTTACGAGACCCATGTTTTAGCTTACGCGGCAGTCAGCGAGAATGTTAAGCTTACGCGTGGCTTACGCGTGGGCATTTTTAGCGTTTCCCCTCAAGAAATGCTTACGCGACCTCCTTTTCTCATGCAGCCGCCAGAACTGCTCAACATGTCTGAGGAAGAAGGTGTCGAAGAACTACCCTCACAAGTTTCAGCGGCTTGGCATTGTTGTTGTTGCTGCAAGTCAAGACACGGGTTATGCGGCAGCGGCATCCATCTCGAGGGCTAGCGGGCAGCCCAGCTAGGCGAGCTTACGCGAACCTTACGCGCCGGCTTACGCGTGCTTACGCGCCCGAGCCACTTTAGTTTTCCTAGATCAGCGGTTTCAGAAGCCTTTGTTTGTCCTAGTAAAGGTTGCAACAGCATGAGCCCAAGAGCTCCCAATCAAGGTTCTGCTGGTTTTGCTTTCTAGTGATATGCACATGCGTCTTCCTGCAGCCAAAGTCTCCTGGCAAGTTGCCAAGCTCGACTAGGTTGCAACCGCACAAGCCACCAATACACGCATAAGCGCAACTCTTCCGAGAGTGCTTACAAAGCTTACCAAGCAATCACGAAGAAGAGCTTACGCAGTTGCTTACGCAGCACGTTTCCCCCAAGAGTGCTTACGCCGGCTTACGCCGTGCAGGATTTTGCTTACGCGGGGCCTTGCTATGACACAACTCTTGCTTGGGATGTAACGGGGGGTTTTAGAGCTGCTCAGGTGATATGTCGGATTTTCTCCCAGCATTCATACAAGCAGGGCGTCATGAGGATTTTGCCCATCCACAGTATTGCAAAGAAGGTTGTGCCTCCAAGTAGGGCAACGCGCGATGAAGCGCTGCTACGTCCAGACGGGCGAGCCGCCGCGCTGCTGAGTTCACGACAGCATCGGAGACACCGTCCCCGACAGCATTCACAAAGCCTGCCAGCTAGAGTGCAAAAGGGCAAAGCACATTCTGTAATTTGGTGCTCGTTTTGACTTCTGTAATTTGGTGCTCGTTTTGACTACCTCAGCTTTTGCCCTCAGCAACACATAGCACTTGAGATTCTGGGCCATGTTTAGTAAACCTAACACGTGGACCGAATAATGCCAAACGAGATACTGCCTGTTTGCTTGTTATTCCCAATTTCGGCCCAGGGTTGACGAACAATGAGTGAGCTTCACTTGTTTGGGGGACACGGACTAATCAATCCGGGAAACATAAGCCCGCTGACCAGTATACCAAGCAACATATTTCGGGCAAAACGAAGAACGTCGAAAGACATTTTTCGCAAACGATCCGTGCATGGAAAATGCCACGTTCAAACCCAGCCAATGGCAACATGTCAAGGGATCGTAGCCTGAACAAGAAGTGAAACCATGGAGGGAGACTTGCCCATAACAGACCCGATTCCAATCAGGTAAGCCCTGAGAGCTGCGTAGTGCCCAAAAATGATATAGGACATGCCAGCCGTTGCTTTGTTTCCACCCACCAAACAAAACAAGACCCAAAACAGGACCCTAAAGATCTGGTGTTACACAACTAAGCTGGGCCTGGCTAACAGGAAACTGAAGGAAAACCCGAACAGGCAAACTTCATTGAAGCATTC